CCCCAAAACCCCCAAAACCCCAAAACCCCTTATGCATATTAAGACTAATGATAAAATCTTAAAATAATTAAAAAATATCTTCCTTAAACTATCTATAAGCACAGAGATAGACTTGAAAGTGATGTATATTTATCATCATCTTTATTTAATGTATGATCATTCCTTTTCGTTAAGGAACATTTCCTTTTCCTCCAGCTCGACAGCAGCTTCTCTTTCTTCGATTTCCTTTATCAAAATCTGTTTTTCATCCTTTCCTAAAACAAACCTATAAGTACTCAGATAGGCTTTCTTTTAATTAAGAATTTCGACTCTCTTCAGATAATCCTTATATTTAATATCTTCTACTAGATCTCTCATCTTATCCAACCTCTTAGACAGGTACTCATACTTCTTAGCACCACTATACTTGCTGATAGTAGATGGGAGGTCTTAAGTTGAACTTTAGACTTAAATTTTAAAGTTAACTTTAGATTTAGAGTTGTTGAATTTATTCTAGATGGGAAGAGGTTTGGACAAAGAACTAGCAAGACTTGCTTGAGGTCTTAAAAGCATCTAAGGTATATGATAGTCATCACTCATTAGGTTTTTCTTTTTGTTTTTTGCAGTTTCAATATCCTATTATATTTTCAATTACTCATCTTACAGCATTTTTTATTCTTCTTCAATAACTTTATCTATTTTAGTTGTCAATCTTTAAAAATCACTCATCTGAGTCTGAATAGTAGATTATTCAACTATTTTAGGCATCGCAACTGCAAGCTCAGTGCCTTATTTATTATAGCTCATATTTGATACTGACCTTAAACTTGGCCTTCGAGAATTTACATCTTAGCTTTTGTTTATCGACTGTGAATTCCGACGATTTATCATCAAATTCATGTCACTCTATCTTTCAGAATATTAAATACTTCTGTCGACAAGCTTATTTTGTTTAACTTCTTTGGCATTTAGATCAACATTGTGTACCTCAATATCAAGATCAACATTAGATTAGTGAGAGTGATCTTATGATGGGTGAATCTGTCTATTATTATACATATACTTATGAGTATCAGTTTCATCCAAGATATTCTACTCAGTTATCATTTCGCTGTGATTCATACTCTAGATGTAGGCACCCCTCTCTAGGTAATCTTAATAGAACTGAGATTATGATACCTAATGTTAAGAATCCATTTTCTTTGAAGCTCTTGGTGGTTTAAAATGAAGTTACTATCCATTGGATAATTATATTGATTGTGTTTTCAAATCATTGGCATCTGATGAAATTATTCCTTGGTTATGATGAGATTCTGTAATTTAAGTTTAAATCTTATTTCTATCATAAGGCATTTGCATCCCTGTTTATTTTTATCCTTATCTGAATTTCTTATTCTCATAACTAGCTGATTTAGGTCTCTGCTATTACCTGTGATATAGACTTAGCTAGATTGAGTTTTATTGAGTCAGCTAGGTATTCTGTTGCATACTTTACTAATTATTACCAATTGTATCTTGAGCATCAGTAAACAAATGTTAACCATAGCTGCTTTCTTTCTAAATTAATCGCGGCTCATTTAAATTTTATCTTAATTAGAATGGGACCTGATCTTCGTTTTATGAATATCTCTTGATTAATTCTGGTTGATAATTTGATGCTGCTGTTGTCGGCCTACTGAATCTAGGCTGCTATGACATCTATGTTGGAAAATCATAACTTGTATTTTTCACTAGCTGTGTTGTTGCATTAAATCTATTATCAGGAACAGCACTCATACCCATTCTCTGAAAGTCTCCTCTTAGATAATCTTCGTATCTATCACTTTATAAATCACTATTCAAACCTGTTGCTCCTCTGTCTTTGCTTTAAATGTATTTGAAGAACTATCCTTAATCACTGAAGTCAATCTTATTAAAGTCCAATCCATGTGTTTGATTCATGCCTCTCTAGCTTCTTATCTATGACTTTGGCCTTTGAATAATCATATTTTGATATTTAAGATTGATGCTCGGCTCTTTCATTTTAAATTCATGTATCAAAGGATGTTTGTTTTGAAAAGGGGCTAACAATGCTTAGCTTTTGTTAGGGCTTATGTTCTAGTTGGCAATAATTTTATTTAACTATTGTGATTAAAGAGTAGCGATCTCATTCTAGAGCTTTAGTTATCTACAATAAATAACTTATAATAGACAAAATTCTTACTTTATTAAGTTTACCGTCTAAGTATTTTCATAGGATCTTCTACTTAGATTAGCATTTGATGAGCTATTTTAATTCTTTAGAGAGCGTTTTCTAGAATGCCTGATTGGCTTTTAAGTATTTTAAGTAATATTTAAATCTTTGCAAACAATATTACATATTGATGGGTTATAGAGAAGTGCTTGTGCTAATAAAAATGTTTAGTCCATTACATTTTTGCTCGGAATTCTCTTATGTGATCTCTAATTAGTTGACTATGCTCTTTTTTGCTGTTGATTTGGCATTTGTCAATTTAGATTGTTCTTCAAATTAGTTTCCTCAGTTATAGAAAATGGATCAGCTATTGAGTCTTTCTTTGAGCTGATTTTAATGTCAATATTTCCTTAGCTATAGGTTATGCCATTAATATCAAGGTTAGAATTCATATGAGCATTATTGTTATCAGCCATTTTAATATAAATTGATTACAAATTAAAATGTAAAATATTCATAAATTTTAAGTTAAAGTATGTAACGAGGAATCTCAATTAACAAATCTTATCTATAAATCACTGCCCTCATCGAAATAGTCTTATTAAAATCAGTACTCAATCTTTCCACCTTTTGAAATCCTATCACACACCAAAGTGATGTGCTGTCTTAGTTTGCTAGCATCTTGCAGAGTTTTAATTTAGTTAGTAGTCTGAGAAATATTGCTATTACCCTTACCACCTTTTGCTAAGCAGGTTTTAAGCAAGTTGGTCATTGCTGCATTTGTAACATCTTCCCATCCTTACTCACTTTCATCGTCTACATATGGCGATAAATGCATTCTCAAAATATGATATTCATCCTCGTTCATCTTAAATCTTATTTTCAATAGGACTAGGATTATCTCAATTGCAGCGGATAATTTAAGGGAAGACTACTTTTATTATTGATGCAGTTGATCTATCTAGGAGCCAGTATCAATAATTTAAACATAGGTATGATTAAGCAAGAAATCAAGATTGTTCAAAGGAGAAGGGTTCTTGTCCTATATTTAGAGGTATTAGTTAATGTATTGTGAATAATTTAATACGTACCTTAAATCTATTCAATAGTCTCTTTTGAATAATTCTAAATTAATAACTTCTGTCCTCCAACACTTTCTTTAGCTTTGCTATTTCTTATCTATAACCGGAATGTTCATCAATTACTTGGAATAATTCATTTAGGGGAATTGCATCAGAAAATGTAATTTCAAGTTCTCCATCTCCATTAAGCAAATCGTTAAGTCTTCTAATTAATTCATTTAAAATGAACCAAAGCGAAGAAAAATCGGGGCTTTAAAGTCTAATTTTAAGATCATCTTTTGAAACCAATAAAGACACAGGAACTTAGTTGTGATAGATGAATGATATTTACTTCTTATTTGTACACATTTCTCTTGCTTAAAGACTTTCTATGACATCTTCAAACAACGAGACAGCAGAGGAAGTTTATTTATTCAAAATAAGGTTTATCTTGAAGTCTGTAGGCTCTTTTGCAGCCCCTGGTAGACCTATCGTTACAAAGAAAGACAAAGGCATTTAAATTTCGGATATTGAAGTTCTAAGCTGACCAGATCCTTCTTAATTTTAGCTTACTTATTGATAAGTAGCTGTCAATGTCACTTTCGTCTCAGTTGGAAAGCAATTTTTCAATGGATAGATATGAACCTTGATCACTGGAGGAGTTTGACGGCCAGAGAAATTAATGCTTTCAAATTTGAAATTAGTTGTTTCAGCGAAAACATTTGGAGGCAATTACAATTAAAGCTATATATTCTTAAAAGATCCTGTAGGAGTATTGGAAGAGCTTTTATAAGCTAAAGTTACCTTCATGCTCATTCTAATTATTCTTCCTTATTCATTCCTTGTGAGCTAATTTTTTGGATCATCGATATATTCTCCTGTTGCTTCAATGAAGGAAGACAGCTAAGGAGTAATAGTAATTTTTTCTTCAGGCTCAACTTATTTCTCATCTTCTTGATTACGAATTCTTGCTAGTATTTTTTAATGTTCATATTCCATTTGCTAGTAATTCATCTCTTAAGCTGGATCAGAAATCTAAACATTTTAAGTGGGAGTATCTGTGCCTAAGTAGACAACTTGTAACCATCCATTATCAGATAAAGTTATTATCAGCCCCTCCATATTGCCAATCTTTGCAACATTTACATAAATTGGTGCTGTTTAAGTTTTAGCTGTCCAAACTAACTAAACATCTTTATAAACCATTAAGTAATGTGAAAATGATCCCATTATAATACTGAAGCATGGCGAATCATGCTGATTTTAAACTGCTTAAGCAGCTATAGCTGCACCATTTCTATCGTCATTTTCATAAATATCCTTATTATTGCCAGGAAGATGATATGTTTTAATGCAAGATGGAGTATATTCAAGTCTTCTTTGATATCTGATTTTACCGTCAGTTTCTTAAAGAATAAAATACGTCTATTCCCCCACAACTACGACATCGTGCCTCTTCGATATTTTATTGTAATGATAGACTAGATGATGCGCTTGTTCACCAATATTGCATATCCAATCAGGTTCAAGTCTTGATTTATTCTATTCATTTTACTGAGCAGCTTTCTAAGCAGCAATATTATTATTTGTATATGCTTAGAGACTCTAAAATCTATAACACTCTAATTCTAAGTTAGTATTGGTTATAATGAGACTATCAATATTTTAAGCATAGAGCAATGGCCCTGGAATTAAGAAATCAGGTAATTATATCTAAAATAAAAGCATCTCATGCTCATAGAAAAAGAGCGCCCCATCAACTGATTGTACGCATACAACTTGCTTTTAACTTTTACCAAAGCCTCCACTGATAAAATTGTAAGCATTTCTATCAAAGGCATGTTCATAAAGAACCTTGAAATTCGAAAATGTATCTGTTGAAGTTATTTGACCCACTACTAATTTCCTTGAATGTAAAATAGCTAAGGATATATCGCAAGTAAAACTAAATCTCCCAACATCAACCTAAAGGATCCCAGATCCCATATTTTTCTCAAGCAACATATCGCTAATGCTAAAGCTATCTGCTTATGGCTTGTAAACGCGCAAAATTCCCTCAAAACTTCCTATAAAATAGTTTAATTATTTGCTAATGGCTTGAACTTACCCACTATAATTTTGTTTTCTCGACTGTCGGAATTATCAACGTTTCCAATACAAATGGAATTCTTGTCAAATTCCTCCTTACTTCCGACATTAGTGGACCATAGTTCTTTAATTTGAAAAATTGACATTTTTATAAATTTAGAAAACTATATTATGTTTTAATTTTAATAATATTTAAATAAAATGATAGCAATAAATCATCACTTTAACTAATGGCTCGAAAAGCGCTGACTAGCTAAGTTCATATTTATTACCACCATATAGATTGCCACAACTTCTTTTTTTAATTGTCGTTGCTATAACAATCCTGTCTGCTCATTTCGTGGTGAACTTGCTTCTTGTACCAGCAAAGATTTCATATGTAACAGACACTTCCTTCACTCTTCTCCAGTAGTTTTCATGACCCCAAACATAGCCCCAGTTCATGAAATAGTACATTGGTAGCATTGAGAAAGCAAATCTTCTCAAGAAAGGTTGTCTGCGAATAACTGGGAAGAATAGATAAACTATTGAGCTGACAGTAATACCGTATTTAAGACCACGCATCTAGTACCTTGGAACCCAATCTTCACACTCTTTTAAATAGACCTTAGCTTGGGGAGAGATGTTAGACTCATGGATCAAGAAATGAACAAACTAAATCAAATTAATCACCGATCTTTGATTATAAATAATTTACCTCTCTTCTTTCTCTCCAGGTTGGCTCGTGCTCAGTTGCTGATTTCTTGTAGAAGGGCCTTAGTGGCTTCTGCAAAAAAGTGGGTCTGGCATTGATATTCATTATTCTCTGAATTTCTTCAGTAGAATACTATCCACCCATAAAATCCTCGTTCATTTTCCTAATATTTTATTATAATTGAATTATTAATACAATTACTTATTAATTATACAAGCATTTAAAGCAGACGGGGTTTTGGGGTTTTGGGGAGATCGGAAGAGCACACGTCTGAACTGCA